CAAACAAGAAACTATAGAGCATTTCATTTTGCCAACCACCTATCACTTGAAAACAAAAACCCCATCCTTGTTCATTATCATGCTATCATCATCATGCCATCCCTTTCTCATTGTTCCTAAATCTTTAATCCCCTATTATATTGTTGGATTGAACAATTTCGCATCTATAAGTGATTGCACCTTGTGTTTGAAGCCTTTACAATTCTTAATGAAGTGTCTTATATTCTCATTTGCATCTTGCATTTGATCAAAATATTTTGGGTATGGAGGCTTTAAAGGCTCTAAAGGTATAGGGATAACAATGTGTCTCTCAAACAGATAGAGAGAGTTTTCCATATGAAATGGGGAAAAGATCTAATTATTTCTTCTTTTTTTTGGGTAATTTTTAGGCTATAGATTGACTAAGAGTCCGAGAATTTGATGGTGGTGTTAAGGTTCAAAATTGAAAAATAGGATGAACCAATGGTAGGGAAATGATAAGCTAAAGATTTTGGTCCAGATACGGACTCCTTAGAGATTGTATAAAGTTTTAGGGTTTGATCTAGATGCTTGGAAAGAAGGCAGAAGATAGACATGAAAAAACTTGAATGCAAGTGCAAGTTTGAAACAATTGGTGAAAGTTGTATAGAACCTGGTGACTTTATCTTCGAAATCAAATTTTGGAGCTTAGACACCTACATGGTCAGATTACTCATCCCTTCATGATCCTGTCCAAACCGTCATTATTGCTCCAACCACTAAATGCTTCAACATGCTCGGGAAATGTACTAGGCCTAGCAAAAATCAATTGATCATGACTCTATGAGTTCATCATACTTACTTGAGCTGAAATTGGTAAAGACCCTCGAGAAGTCATCAAAATAAATTCCTTGAATCTATCAATTGTTTTTGTCAACTAAGCGAGCTATTTTATCATCTTTAAATGTTATGATCAAATTCCTTTTGATTGTATTCCAATGCATTAATTGAGCCTCCAATTGATCTTCCATATTTCTGCTTCTTATACCCATTTTTAAAAAATTATATTAAGGGTTTAAACAAAAAAATGTTTATGCTATTATTTTTGTTGAATGAATAACACAAAACAATTCCTAATTTGCATGCTATACAAAATATATCTATGAATGCTTGACTAAGATAATGATGCAAAGATATCCACAGAAATGGAACAATCTAAAATATACAAATCACCTTAATGATGAACGTAGAACAAAATGATTAAATTTCAAAAGGACAACAAACTCCTATCCTAAATCTCTCTTTTGCTTTATCCATCTTTTTATTTGGACTCATCTTTTCCTTCTTTTCCTTTTTCTTTTATCTTTTTTTATACAAACTTTATTTACATTATTACCTTAAACACAAATTTTTATCTCTTTTTATCCTAACTTTATTTACACTATTACCTTAAACACAAATTGCATATTATTCCTAGATGCTTTCTAATTGGCTTTTAACTCTAAATAGGTCTTACAAGAGGCTGACACTACTGATGGCTTCATGGGAACCTTTTTTTTATTGTTGATAATCGACCTAAAACAAATACCCCTTTTTAAAATATAATGCATATAAAATAAAATGATGTCAGAAAATTAAAGAATATAAAAATAAAATGAATCAATAATTTAAAACAAACAAATAATAGAAACAACAGAGCAACCATATAATACAACGAAATAACATAATATAATAGTATCCTAACTTTTGTTTATTTTCTAAAAAGGCGGCATAGCTCTACCCTAGGTAAGCTTCCAATGGCTCATGATATGCTAGGTCAAGATTTATTCACCTAAAGGCTCCCAAATCAACCTTACATCATCATCCATTATAGACTAGTAAAGCTCACTAATCATCATCGATTACAAGCTACAAATGAAAAGAGTTTGATCTAAGTGAAAGTATTTCACTAGCAAATATAGAGGTTATCACCTCACGAGAGTGTACCCATTTCACTTCCTCCTAAAAAGGATAAAGTCTGGGTTTAGAGGTCATGCATGCAAGTGAATATACAAAAATGTTCAAAGTGATATATTAATCAAAATAACATAAATTACAAATACAAAATCAAAACAAGATAATAACTAACATGTAATTTATTAATTTTTATTTATTTATTTCTTTTGAAAAAATTTTAATATAAAGGGAATTAAAGTTAAATATCAAATAAAACCAATTAAATAAAAAAATTTTAATAGTGCATAATTTAAAGTTTTTCCTTGACTCTCAAAATGTCCCCAGTGGAGTTTTCAATCTATCATAATGTATTAGTCCAAATACTCGATTGTTAGACGTAAAAATCTAAAATTGTGAAAACACAGAGAGTCACCACCAATCTTTTTAAGAGTGTGATTGGCCACCTAAAAATTTCATCTTTTTAATAAATTAATAAGTTTATTAAAAAGATATTTTTGATCTAGAAAAACAAGATTGAGTTTGGGAGTCAGTACACGTGGGGAAAATTAGCACTCCCACAGCGCCTATGAAATTGGTACAAATTAATCATGTCCTATTTACAATTTTGGACAAAAATGGTTCTTGTATGAAATTTAATTACAATTCCTTTCATTCTTAAGAAATAAAATTATTAAAAACCTTTATTTAGAAATGCCAAGAAAATCTCTAAATTTAAAAAAAATACCTTAAAATTCTTTGACATAAAGGTAGAGTTTAAAGATAATCATTTTTGTCTAAGATTTACCACAACATTTCCTTAAAAATAAAAATAATATTCTTTAAAATTGATAATTATAAATGACTCTGCAACATTTAGGTAGAGTACAAAAAATTATATATTCTAAAATATTATTTTAAATTCATTTTATTTATTATTTGTTTTTGAAATCAACTTTTCAAAGAAGGCTTTTTATGTAATAAAAATGGAAAAGGCTATAATAAACCATAAACAACAATAATTGAAATGTCTATGCATAATAAGTACAAGAAAATTAATATATGCAAATGTGTCTTAAATGATGAGGAGATGCAAATTTAAAAATGGATCTTTAAATATAAAAGCACCACCTGAAACTCTTCAAGTTTGGGTGCGATCTTTTAGATTTAAAATCTTGTTTTTTTATTTATTCTTTTATTTAACTTTATTAATTTAGATTAAGGAATGGTTTCGGAGCTTTGAGACTTTAGTAAGTTTCATTAGGGTTCCATTAAGTTTTAGATTTACAGTTTAGGATTCACTTAAGGTTTAGGATTTCACTTAAAATTTAGGGTTTTATTTTTAATTTAGAGGTGCATTTAGGGTTTTAAGATTTCATTTTAGGGTTTTAGTTTAGAGTTTGGTTTTAGGGTTTCATTTAAAGCTTTAAGGTTTGACTTAGGATTTTAGGGTTTCGATTTTAGGGTTTCACTTAGGGTTTTCCTTAGGGTTTTAGTTTTATATTCCAAAAATTTATGAACTTTTCTAAAACTATTGGGCTTCTAGGTAGACTTTCGAAACAAGATTGTTTTTTATAACTTTTCTAAAAAAATGAATTTTTATATTTTTATATATTTTCTTTTTATTAAAATTTTGTTATTTTTATTATTTATTTTTCTTTTCTCCTTTACATGAAAATTTCATTATTATTATTTAATTTCATGATTTAATTTTATGTTTCTTAATATTTTGAAATCTTCTTTTCTATTTTTTTTTTTAAATCAAATTTCTTTTACTAAGATTTAATTTCTCAACAGCTAGGTGGAATTAACTATTTAAAACTCGATTTTAAATCCCTCCTACATCTAGTTAGAGATGTAAAATCATCATTATTATTATTATTATTATTTATTAAAAAATGTCAGTCATCCCATTAAACCTTCTAAAATCAATATGCCAATTTATCAATTTATTGAAGTACTACTATTTCCCTATGACACACTGAGTGGTCAATCTGAAGGTCCACCCTAACATCTATTTACTCGTTCATGCCATTTCTTCCATTACTAATTGACCAAATAGTAACTTCAAAGATCCACAGATAGCAATCATCATCTCTTCATGGCTACAAAATTAAGAAGCTGGCAAGTAATGGAGGCTAACAGATAATGATTTAAACTAGTGGTGAGGCGGGTTTCCTTCCTTTTTTCGATACGAAAGTAAAACATTTTAGAGTAAGGAAGTACGAATATAAAACATCTTAAAGTTTGTATTGCTTTAACGTTTCCTCCCCCCCCCCCCCTCCCTTTTTTTTTTTTGGGATACAAAGAATAGAACATTTTATTGTATAGAAACTCAAGCTAACCGAAAAACAACAATCCAGAAATAAAACAAACACCTAAAAAACAAAAATCTCCTCTCAGTATTTTTTATTTGTAAAAGAAACTCACCTGTTAACTCAACAAGCCGAATTCATGACTTGTTTCCTTTAAAGAAGTAATACATGCATGCTGCCCTTGTATAGAAAGCATGAACAAAAAATTTTTTTGCAACCTAAGTCCTACAGGAAAACTAATATATTCACAACATGCATATAAGCTAGACGAGGAAGGTAAGAATGTTACCTCTTTTTCCTGTTTTCTTATTTTTCTCTTCGTCACCTCTCCTTTGCAAGCTTTTTATTTTCTGCTCCTTCTTCGGCCTATTCTGCTTGTATTTTTGTTTTGGCTGCTTGTTTTTTCTTATTGTTGGATCATGTTTCAGTTCCTTGTCTGCCGCTCTCCACGCTACTGCTGCTTCACGCCTTCACCTTCTGCTTTCTGGTTGTATTTTTTTCCTTCTTTCCTCTTTGCTGTTCCACGTCCTTTTTTCTTCTTTGTGTTTTCTGTTTTCTGGTTCTACTTGCGCAGGTATTTTTCTGCTAGGCGTTTTCCACTCCTCACTTCTCTTTTACTTTCTGCTTTCGTTTTTTCCTTTGCCTTTTTTGTCACCTTTTTCTTCTGTTTAGCCTTTTTTTCTGGTTTTCTTCACGTGCTACCTGCTTTGTTTTACTGCTTCCTTCCTTTTTTTTTCCAGTTTTGCCTTTTTTGTTTTTTATTTTCTTCTCCATTCTGCTCGTCTTTTTTCTGTTTTATTCTTCTCTTCGTTTTTTTTTTGTCCTCGCCTCCCTCTTCTTTTTCTGGCTTTCCTCCTCTCTTTCTCTCTTGCGCTCCCTTCTCTTCGTTTTTTGTGGTCCACGCCTCACTCTCTTTTTCTGTTTAGTTTCCAGTGCTTCGTCGCGCAGCTTATTCATGCCATGAACTCTTCCACCTCCTTCCTCTCTTCTCCCTCGTCTTTCTGTTTTCCGTTCCTTTCTTGTAGTTTTTTTCTTTTTTCCACGCCTTCTGCTTCGTTCTTCTTTAGTGCCCACTTTGCTGGTTTTTCTCTTTGAATCCTTGTGCCCTAAAGCCCCTCTTCCTTCTTCTTTTTTCTCCTCTTTGCTCTCAGTAGCCCCTCCTGAATGGCCTTTCCTTTTTTTTGGCCGTTCTTTCCCGTTTTCCATTTTTTCTACAGTTTTTTAGTCCAAAAGCCCCCCACCCCCCCATCCTCGACATTGCATGCGGTTTTCAGTTTCCTTTTTAACTTTTCCCCAGCTTCCTTACGTCGCATGCATTTTAACAAAGCCAAGTGAGCTTTGTTTAGTTTAATTCGCCATGTTTTATAGCCCATTTGGGCTTTTGTGATATTACTTTATATTTTATATTTTGAGCTTTATTTCGGTCATGTTTTATCGTGCTTACAAATTTTATTTTGGACCTCGAAATTTTATTTATTCTTTTTAGGTCGAGCTTTTTGTTTTTTTTTTAACTTTATTTATTTATATGTTTATTTATATTATTATTTTTATGATTATGTTTTCTATTTTTATTTGGTTTTTATATATTTTTTTGTTTAATGGTCATCAATGGGCTATTAATGGGCTTTCATAAAAATGATCTTTTTATCAGGTTTTTATCAGGCCATTTTGGGTATTATTTGAACATATGCAAGGAGCCACACTATGAGGCTTACATGGCCTTATCCTCGAGCATTAAAATGGACCTATAACATGCCTAAAAAATTATAGTCAAAGTCCAATTGCAAACCAAGCCAGTTTAAAGTGATAAAATATCATGGATAAAATTAAGTGTCTATAATAATTTTGGTACTCTGTTTAGATATTAGAAAATCACCAATAAATATCATATGCAAAGAATAATGTCTTGATTTTAAGAAATGTTGTGGTGAATCTTAGGTGAAAAAAGTTATCTTTGAATTCTATCTAGATGTTGAAAAATTTTAAGATAATTCTTTAACCTACAGTTTCCATAATATTCTTAAAGTTTTTTTTAATAAAATTGATTTTTTTTTTCCAAAAAGTGAAGGGAATTATTATTAAATTTCAAATTAAAATTATTTTTATCCAACACTAAAAATAATGCATGATTAATTGGCATTGTTTTTTAAGATGGGTATTGTGGGGTGCTAATCTTTTCCTATGTGTAACCATACTTTCGAACCCAACTTTGTTTTGAAAGACCAAAAATGTCTTTTTGATAAATCTCAAATTCTTTTTTATTTTATTAAAAAGATAAACATTTTAGGTGGCCAATCACACCTAACAAAAAAGATTGGTGGTGACTTTCTTTTTTTTTTTTTATTTCCAAAACTTTAACATCCTACAATTGAGTCGACGAACTCATACGTTGCAACAATTTGACGACTCTACTAGGGAGATTTTTTTAGAGTCTTGCCTAAAATGAATTATATATTATCCCAAATTTTGAATTTAATGCTTTAATTGATATTTAATTTTAATTCCTTTCATTTTAATTCTTTTGAAAAATAATTCATATTAGTTTCATCCATTCTTTGATTTTGTCATTTATTTTTCTTTACTTATATTGTTTTAATTGCTATATTTCCCCACACACTTCACATATGCACTTGCATGCATGAGTTTTATACTCAAGCTTCATCCCTATTAGGAGGAAATATTGTAGCTACGCTTTTGTGAGGTGATAATCTCCACATTTGCTAATAAAACACTCCCATTCAAATTGAACCCTTTTTTATTTGTACCCTATAATGGATGAGGATCGAGGTGCCTTACTAATCTATAATGGATGATGATATGGGGAACAATTTGGTAACCTTTCGATGTCTAAATCCGAACCAAGCATATCATGAACCTTAGGGGACCAACCTTAGGTAAAGCCATACCGATCCTTTTTTGTAGAATTACTCGAATTAAGACACGTGAAGAACACTCTAATATAACTTATATTCAGGGTAATAATAACACAAAGGAAACTAAAATTTTGAAAAAAAAAGAAAAAAATTCTTTCAACAAAATTTTCTTTTAACATACTATTCAATTTGTCCAGTAGTTGTCCAAGATTTGCATTTTCAAAGAAATATTTTTAAGATTTTGGGTTAAAAAAAGGTTTTTCTAAATTTCTTTATTTTATTAGCCAGATAAACAAAAACAAAAAAAAGAACCACGAAAAAATTAGAAACAAAAATTTTCAAAAAAAAAAAGAAACAAATGGAAGAAGGCTTTCATAATTTCTTTGTTAGACAAATAAAAACTAAAAGCATGAAAAAAAAGAAGAAGAGATTTTACCCTTTTTGCTTCAACCCAAATTTTCTTTTGAATTTAGAATGAAGTTGTTCTATGTTCATTTTATTTTTGTGTCCCCACATTTTTCTAAAAATAAAAGAGAACTTTTGGAACTATCAAGTTGTTTAGTGGGCCTTATAAAAAAATGATTTGATAAAAAGTGAAAAAAAAAAACAACAAAAAAGAAAAAAAAAGAGAAAAAAAGAAAAAAAAAAGGGAATTTAGGATAGGTAAGGAGTTTATTGTCTTTGTTCTTTATTTCAATCATTATGCTTTGCATTCATTGTTAATATGGTTTTTATATTTTGGGTTGTGTGCATAAGAAATTTAATTCTGGTAGATATATTTGCATCATTAGCATATTCATGCATTCATAAACATGTTCTATATGTTATGCAAGTTAGAAATTGTTTTGTGGCATTCATTCAGTAAGAGTAATAACATAGACTTTTTGGTTTAAATCCCTAAATAAAATATATGTCTTAGTAGGTATCAAAAGGGTAAAAAAGGGAGATCAATTAAAGGCAAAGAATTGAATCATGAAGAATTTGGGCATGAGTTTCAAGAGATTAAACAACATATCACTCAGTTGGTGGAAACAATTAAATATAGTGATAGGGTTAGGTTTCTTTCACCTTAATGTTCTTTATCACTTCTAATTCAATCAGATCAAAAGCAACCAGTCCCTACTAGGTCCAACATTACTCAAAAGGATCTCAATGCATACGGTATCTTGAGTGAAGATCAAAGTTTGAATAAGCTCATGAAAGGAATGGATGAATTGATAGAACAAATGAAGGAACTCCAAAGTGTGATGCCTAAGTTGGAGTCACCAAGATTCATACACCCTCACCAACTATCCCAAATCCAAACCTGCATTTAAATCTTTCTAGTGTCTATTTTTAAATTCCTTTTTAGGTATTCAACATTAGACCTCTAAATGTCCTAAACTTGAATTTGCATTCTTAACAACCTACTCAACCTCACATTCCACAACCACTTATTCAACGTACTATTCCCCAACCACTTATTCAACTGATGTTCTAAGTTCATGCTTTACACCTCTAGGTCAATCCTTCAAACTAATGATAAAAAAAGACATGACTTAACTTGACCTATGAGATATACTGACTTGTACCCTTATTTGGTAAAAGCCCATCTTATTACACCTGTTTATCTAAAGCTATTAAACCCTTATAACCTAAGTGGTATGGCACTAATGCTCACTATGATTACTACTATGATAATATGGGCCACTCTAAGATAATTGCACAGCCTTAAAGTATAAGGTGCAAGGTTTAATCTATACTAACTTGTTAAATTTTGACACCAAAACAAAGCTGAGTGTTTATTGAAGTCCTTTATTGATTCACACTAGTATAACAAACAGTGCTGTATGCAACGATAAAATTGGTAAACATAAGAAAAATAAGGACAAGGGGATTTAAATAGAACATGTATCCAAATGTTTAGTTATAGCTAATATGGCTCTGAATAGGCCAACCTTTCAAAATATGGAGAAAAATTCTACTGAGACTTTCAAGGACTATGTCCACAGATGGAGGGATCTTATGGCACAAATACAACCACCATTGATTGAGAAAGAAACAACTATGTTGTTTGCCATACCTTTTGAGCCCCATACTACAATAAGCTAATTGGGCACATGATGATGTGGTGCTTATCAGGAAGATAATAGAAATGCTATCAAGAATAGTAAGCTTGAAGAATGAGAGACTAGTGATATAAAAAAAATTATCATTTTTGTTTTGCTATTAATTTGATAATTCTACATTTGTTGCTCTTAATAAAAGACATAAAAAATTATTAGAAATGACATAAAAAAGAAACAAAATAAAGAAACAAAAACAAAAACCAAAAATATCAAAATCACTAAAAAATGGAATCAAAGAAATTTGTTCTTTTAGTTTGCTGCATGCATCATTCTTTAAAATAAAACATCAGGTACATACTTTCTAGATAATTTGTTGATAAAGGTTCTCATAGCATCTCAAGAGTTTCAAGTAGGGTTTTCAGCAAGCAAGACATTTTGGGAAGTGAAGATCAGTTAAAAAACAAGTAACAGATAGAAAAGACTCTTTGACATATGGGTATGTCTCAAAATTGCTAGACTTAGTTTATTTGGATTTAAAACAAAATGACATGATAGATTTAAAAGTATTTGGAATTAGTGGAGTCTGAAAAAGAAGCTAGCTTTCATAGTAGAGTATGGAGATATTGTTTTGTTGGTACTATTAACCTAATGATCAAATGTTAAAAGCCCTATAAAGTTCTAAAATCTAACATATCGGTGCTTTACATTCAACAAGGAATACCTAACACTTACTATAGAAGAATACTTTACCTTATTATGTTTATAGCTCCCCAATTCCAATAAAGCATATTGGAAAGCACAAAAGTTGATTGGGTATAAGAAAAAGTTGGTGACAATAATAAGGTTCGAGGTTTAAGTGATTGAGAAGAAAAAAGGGTCCAGTGTATGGGTACCATGGACTTTCCTACGAGATGTCATGCTTTAAAATTTGGATTAAAATTGAGTTATGGATATGTTTACTTTAGTTGTTTACGGTTTGGTGATCTTTTCGAGAGCCTTAGGATATATAGAGGCCTTTGTAGTGGATTTTTTTATGCAATTAGAACAAAAGATTAACCTTTCACTGGCAATTTTGGCAGAAACCATTAGATTATTAAACTATTATTGAAGGAAAGAAAAAAGGTGATTGATTTGTTCTGTTCAACTGATGTATATGTAGATTCAAAGCCATTTTTAGAGTACTGATTGAGCTCTATTGTTGATATATATGAAATCCTTAGCGCTGTTAGCCAAGTTCAACGTAAAAGAGAGGCCTAAGAATCTTTCGAAGGAACAATGGATGGTT